AGGGAGCATGGTTTATAGACTGATTTCTAGACTTCAGAACCAAGTTGTGATGGAATACATGTTTGTTATTTTAAGTTGCCTGATTTGTGATACTTTGTCACAGTAACCACAGTAAAAGAAGATATCTCCCATGATGGCTACCTGTATGTACCCTATGCGCTAGGCCAGGGAACCCAGTGGTTTGGTCAAACACCAATCTAGATGTTGTTGAGAAGGTACTTTTAGATGTGATTAGCATGTAAATCAGTAGACAATGAAGACACCAGCTAACCCTTCATACTGTAGGTGGGCCTTAAAAGGCCTTAAAAGACTGAGGTTCCCAGATGAAGAAGGAATTCTGTCTCCAAACTGCCTTCAGACTTGAACTACAATATCAATTCTCTGGTTCTCCAGTCTGCAGGCCTGACCTGCAGATTTTAGTCTGCCAACCATAGTTGTGTGAGCCAGTGCCTTAAAATCTCTCCTCTTGCTGGGCATGGTGGCACATGCCTGTAATCCCAGCCCTCAATAGGCTGAGGCAGGAGGATTGCCATGAGTTCCAGGCCAGCCTGGGCTACATAATTCAAGGCCAGGCTGAACTACATAGTGAGACCCTGTCCCCCCCCAAAAAAATATTTCTCCTCTTCTCCCTCCTGTCTTTTCTCCCCTCCCTTCCTTCTCCCCACCCCACTCCCTCACTGTCTCTCTCCTCCATATATATCCTGTATTGATTGTGTTTTTCTGCAGAACCCTAATGAATAACTTCTCATTCAGAACCCTTCCATACTTCCTGTACAGTGGGACCTGGCAGTGCCCTCAGGGCTTGCACCCTAAGCCCAGTGGGCAGCATGTCCACCTGTCTGCCTTTTCTGCTCACATTGTTTTGTGAGGCTGCATGCTCTGGCCATTGTACAGGGCTGCCTGTTGACTCAGAGCCTTCCTCAGGCTCATGTCAGGTACACAAGGTGGAAACAGCAGAGCAGATGCTGACACCTCCACTGGCCAAACAACCGCATTCCATCCCAGCCCTGAAATGCTAGGGATCTGGAATGGGGCCAGGACTTGGACTCAGGATCTTGCATGTGTTGAGGAAGAACAAGACTCCAGACAGGACCTGGCCTTCAGTATCTGCTCTGGCCCAGGCCAACCTGAGCCAAGGGAACCAGACAAAGCCCCGTAAGTGGACATGAGAAGGACAATGCACATGTGACACATCCAGCCACATTGGCTCAGCCATTTAAAGACCCAGGACATGGAAAAGTGGAGAAGAAACAGCTTGATTGGGAAACTTCAGGAGATCCAAGAAGCAGCAGTCAAACTCCATGCAGGCTGGCACTCAGGGCTGGCACCACCCCACAGCCTCTCTCCTGTTCCTGCAGTTCCCTGCAATACCTGCTCTGTGGGTTTGATGCCTTGCAGATAGCTCTGTCTCCACCGGGCCATAGCATACAGAGTGATGGGACCTCTCACTACTGGGATTTCAGCAATCAGAGCAGTTGTAACCCTCTTCAATACCCTGGGGCTGGGGGAGGTAAAGCATGCATGAGGGACTTCGACCTTCTTGGAGGTAGTGAGGTGCTTTTTTATCCCTGTTGTGTTCCTACACAGCCCATCCAAAAGCCTGGATGAAAACTGCCACCCCTAGTGGGCTCTGAGAATTGGGTACTGGGGTTTTGTGTGGGACCCAGGGGTCTCTCTATGCTTCTGGAGAGGAGTAGGCAAGGGACCCTTCTGCCCAGTGGCTCACATTCTGGAGAACTCTCCTCCCCAACCCTCCCCAGCCCTGGGCTGCACACACTGCTTATTAAGAAACTGGCCTTGCACAGCATCGTTACCCTTCACCTCCCCTTAGGGGTAACCAGGAAGCTTTTCAGCCAAACACCAAGAAAAAAACCTTCTGCCAATGAAGAGTTCAGAGCACACAGCGCACTTGGCAGTCCCCATAACTCACGCCTTGTTTATTCTCACCAGCGCTCACTCTTATCATGTTGTCTGTGTTCCAGCCACCCTACGAATGTCATCTGTCCAGAAAGAGAAAGTGGTTGTTTATTTCTTCCTGTGCAGGGGGATGGATCGCCTTTGCAGATTTTTAACGTTGTATTGAGAGGAGGGGACCCAACTCCTAGCCACTGAGAGGGGAGCGAGTGTTGGCTGACCTTGGGACTCTTCTGCCCCTGGGCCAGGGGTGGGGAGGCCGGAGGGCCCCTGGTATTGCTAGGAGAGGAGGCTGGGAGCCCTGGCTTGTGTTGCTCAGCAAGCTGTTTTATCTAGGTTTTGTGTTTATTTAGAGGCTTGGGGAACGTTGGTGGTGGTTGTATTGAGAACAAAGGCGTCCACCCCCCACCACTACCACCATCTTCCTCAGCACTGGTTCTGCCCTCAGGGGAGCAGCAGAGGCTGGCCCTTCCGCGGCCCTCCCCAGGGCTCGCCCGGAAGCTGTCCAGGGTCCTGACGCCTCGCCTGCTCTGGCACGCGCAGACACCAACCTCAGCACACCCAGGGTTCCTGGCTTCAACTTGCGTAGAACTGAGAGAGCCTTTTGCTTCAGCCATTATCTGAGCAGTGCGTGGAAAAAGAAAAAGAAAAAAAAAAAGGTTTTCCTGAAACAAAGGCGGGGGGGGGGACGCTGAGCCTTTGGCGGAGTGGAAAGTCCTTTTCAAGTTTCTGTTTTTATTCGAAAGGCTCTGTGGGGACAGGATTCATCTTTGCCTAAATGGTCTGCCATAAGTTTAAGGGTTGGGAACATAGTGCTGCCCATAAGATCTGTTCTAGTTATCTGTTACTGCCTACAAGATGCTTTTTCAGAGGGGCCAACTGCAGCAAGGTTAGTTTTATGGGGAACTATGGCCAAGAAGTCAGAGAACTCACTCACCCCTGCCAGAAACGTTCCATCCAGCCTATGCCAAAGGCTCTTTTAAACCGGCCAGCCTCAGAGGGGGTCAACTGTGGAAATTGCTTTAGACCCAGAGTCTGGAAAGCCCAGAGACAGCACCCTTCTGTCTGTCCACACTGGGGAAATAGAGCAGGACCCAGAGCCATAGGGGCCGCGACCTTGATCAGTATGTCTTCCTCCCACTTCCCTGACTGGCAGGACGCCTTCGGAAGTGGCTCCTCAGCTCCACTCTTGGCCAAATGTAGTATGACTCATTTGCCCCAGAAAAAGAATATAAATAAGCACCATCACACCTTGACAGGTTGACAGGAGTGACAAGCAGAGTAAATTCCCATATCTGAGACTCTGAGGAGGAGAAGTGATTTAGCAGAGCCAGCTGCCATCACCAGGAGAAAATAATTAAGGAAACCCGGTGGTGTAGAGGAAAGCTGAGCGGCCGCAGCGGGTCCCTTCTGGTGAAGAGATCTGTCATCACTGGCTGCAGGAGAAAACCCAACATGCCAGAGAGAACTGAGCTCTGGAAGCTTGTGCTGGAGGCATCTGCAGAGACAAGGGGATTAGAAGGGAAGGAGGATGGCTGGTGAGGAAGGAAGTGGGCTTTGGAGCTGACAGGGGCACTGTCTAAAGGATCCTCTTGGAGCAACACCCACTGCTCATGTACCACATGGAGCTTCCCTTTAGTCTCTGGAAGAGTCTATAAGGCCTGATCCAAGCTTTTCAACACACACGCGTGCACACACACGCACACACCCCACAGGAATGCCCAGAAAGGAAGGCACACAGACCTTTGCCCAAAGAAGGGCACACCTCCTCCCAGCCCAAAGGAATCCGCAGAAGAAAGAGGTAGCATGGTAATACACATCTGTAATCCCAGCACTCTGGGAGGCTGAAACAGGAGGATCACAAGTTTGAGCCCATTGTGGACAACTTAGTGACATATCGAGACCCTTTTATAAATGAAAGAATGAATGAACAAATGAATGAATGAACGATTGAGTGAATGAATAAAGGTTGGTGATGTGGTTTGGTCCAAAGGCCCTAGGTTCAATCCCCATTACGGGGTGGGGGGAATGCAGGCAGCATGTCCAAGTTCTACCTTTGTTTCCACCTCTTGGGATTTGAAGAAGGTTCCAGAAAGCTCAGGGAATATAAACTTTCCATCCCAGAGGTGACCTTTGCCCTCCCTCCTTGCTTGCTAACAACTGAGGGAGATGTATGGGCACAGCTTCAGACTGACCCACACAGGATCAGAGTCATAGCAGTTTGTAAAACTGGACCCTGTGGGCAAATTGAGGAGGTGCGGGTCAGGAAACACCTGATGTCCCTTGCCAGCTAGGCTCCATCCACTGGCCCTTAGCCCAGTACACAGAGACAGGGATGGGCTGGGCTGTCAGAATGGCACCCTCCCTGTCCTGGGCAGCAGCTAGGACTCAGTCAGGTGCAGCTGGGAACAGTGCCCCTCTGTGCTGGCTGGAAGTTCTAGCTTCTTTAAGGGCCCAAGAGCAGAAAGAGCCCCTGATGCCCCAGTGGGCCAGGCAGGCATTGAGAAAAGAGGCCAGGGCTGTGGCATAAACTCTGCCAAGGGAAGTCTCCCATCCTCCCCAACAAACCAGGGTATGAAACAGTATCCTCTCTCTAACCGGATGGTCGCCTCAGGGGCTTGGGTGCAAATGTGTCGTGTTCCAAGTACCGAGAGTCTGCATCCACTAGAACCAGGGCATGGCTGACGGGGTGTGGAGAAAGGAAGGACAAAGCCTTCAGAAGGGTCCTTTCACTGACTTAATGGCAGGATGGGGTGAGGTGAGGATGGGCTGAGAACCCTGACTTTTCCACAGGACAGGTGTGTGGGTACCCTTGGGCAGGGTGCCTTCCCACACCTGCCAAGCCATACTAGGTATGAGATGCAGAGAAGTTAGCACCAGCTGGAAGCCAGTGGAACTACATCCTTGTGGCAACCTCATTTTCCATGGGATAGGGGATCAAAGAACCCCAAATTGGCCTTCCCCAGAGCCTAATCTAAGCTTCCTCCAGCCTGGGTGTCCAAAGGGCAAGGGCCTGTAAGCAGGTCCCTGAAAGCCACATGGCACTTCCGCTGCTAATCCTGTTCTTTCCTGTGTTTGCTTTTTAGGAATAAAGTTCAACATCAGGCCACAGCAGCCCCACAAGGTAAGTTCTGAGAATCAGATAAATCTCAGCACACACAGGCTAGAGAAAGGGAGGGCAAGGAAGAAAATTTGACTCCATTTTTAAAAAGAAAAATGTGTCCAGTCCTTTCCAGGAGCCTTGGGAACAAAGCCCAGGGCTTTGGATCCATGAATTTCCCGTTCCTGTTAGATGGCTCCTTTGGATTGTGCTAATAGACACAGTAAATCTGCGCCAGCCTTCTTGAGGCCTTCGGCTCGCCCCGCCCACCCTGACCCGGTTCCTGGGAGGAGCGCGCCATCTTGTGGCTGAAATACCACTTCCACCTTGAGTCCCACACTGGTGGCCAGACTGTGTAGCCCCGGGCTGTGAGCTGGACCAAGACAGACTAGGGGGCCACACCCGCAGGATCAGCCTTTCTCCTCATCCGAGGAAGAACTCAGGCTGCAGAGAGGGGAGAAACCCCAGTCCTGGCGGCAGTCTGACTTGGTGGACCCTCTGTGCCAGCTGTCCTGTCCACCTTGGTGACTACCTCCCTTTTTGTCCCAGGACCTCCAACCAGGTAGTTCCCAGGATGGCAACGTAAAGGTGTCCACAGAGAAAGTCACACGAGATTTGTCCAGCCGGGCCCCGAGGGACCTCAAACTGCGGGTGCCCGACCAGCCTCAATTCCGTCCAAAGACTGGGACCAGTCTGCGACTCCGGCAGCGGCGTCGGCGGCTGCTCATCAAAAAGATGCCAGCTGCAGTGGCCATGGTGGCCAACAGCTCGTCCGAGACCTTTGTCCCCCCACCCTGGACCCCGGACAGCCACTGGGTCAGCCTGCGCCAGAGTCAGCAGGAGCGCAAGCGGGTGATGCGGGAGGCCTGTGCCAAGTATCGGGCGAGCAGCAGCCGCAGGGCCGTCACGCCCCGCCACGTGTCGCGCATCTTCGTGGAGGACCGCCACCGCGTGCTCTACTGCGAGGTGCCCAAGGCGGGCTGCTCCAACTGGAAGCGGGTGCTCATGGTGCTGGCCGGGCTGGCCTCGTCCACGGCGGACATACAGCACAACACAGTCCACTACAGCAGCGCCCTCAAGCGGCTGGACACCTTCGACCGCCAGGGCATCCTGCACCGCCTGGGCACCTACACCAAGATGCTCTTCGTGCGCGAGCCCTTCGAGAGGCTGGTCTCGGCTTTCCGTGACAAGTTCGAGCACCCGAACAGCTACTACCACCCCGTCTTTGGCAAGGCCATCCTGGCCCGGTACCGGGCGAACGCCTCGCGGGAGGCGCTGCGGACGGGCTCCGGCGTGCGCTTCCCCGAGTTCGTCCAGTACCTGCTGGACGTGCACCGGCCCGTGGGCATGGACATCCACTGGGACCACGTCAGCCGGCTGTGCAGCCCCTGCCTCATCGACTATGACTTTGTGGGCAAGTTCGAGAGCATGGAGGACGACGCCAACTTCTTTCTGAGCCTCATCCGAGCACCGCGCAACCTGACCTTCCCGCGGTTCAAGGACCGGCACTCGCAGGAGGCGCGCACGACCTCGAGGATCACCCACCAGTACTTCGCGCAGCTCTCCGCCCTGCAGCGGCAGCGCACCTACGACTTCTACTACATGGACTACCTGATGTTCAACTACTCCAAGCCCTTCGCGGACCTGTACTGAGTGAGGGGTGGGGCTTGCAGGCGAGGACGCCCCACCCCGACCCGCGCGCCTGCGCACGACCAGCTTTCTCTCCAGTGCTCGAGCCGAGCTGAGACCCGGACAACTGGGCGCTGAGGATGTCGGGAGCCCTGGCTTTGGGGCTCAGCTGACTCAGGATGGGGGACAGGGGCCTTGGATGGGGACCCTGGCCCTTGTCCCATACCCACTTCCTCACTCCTTGGCCGAGGGAGGTGTGAGGACTTGGATGCCCCGGGAGCTCCGCTAAGAGCTGCGATGACCAGGGAAGCCTGAGGCCCCAGGGACAAGGGCCCCAGCAGAAAGGGATGTCCTGCAGTCCCTTAGCCTTTGCCTTGTACAAACCACGTGGTTTGCAGTTTTTCTAAGACCTAGGGGGAGGTTCTGAATAAAGCACTTGGTTTTCGGAGCAGCAGTGTCTACTTGTGTGGTGTTGCAGGAACTTGCGAACCTTGTCCCGTGCTTTCTGGACTTTCTGCCTCTCGGGACAGCCTGGGCCAGGCACCTGCAGGCCCTGCGACAGGGATGCCCAGGGCAGGAGCCCGCGGTGTGAGGAGGAGGTCCTGTCCGCACGGAGGCCCCCTGGCGTCCCTTCTTGTCACCGCACCCCCCCCCCCCGCCCCAGCTCTCAGCAAGCTGCTGGCTAGGGCTCCCCCAGGCACTCGCAAGAGGCTTCAGTCGGTGCCAGCGGCTCTCAGCTGGGGAGTGAGGCTGAACCCCTGAACTAAGCAGGGCTTTGGCCTAGAGTTGTTATCTGACCTTGACTGCCACCCAGGCCCCATTCACCTGCCAAGAGCACCTCAGGGCTGCAGCACTGTCCATCCCATGAAGCAGCTGGGGGGTCGGGGGGAGGTAGAGGAAACTTCTTCTCCAGACACACATACCTTCACACCGGAAATGGCTCGGAGCTTATCAAAAGCCAGTGTGATACTGAAAGGTCTCCCAGAGAGAAAGTGTCTGTTGGAACTTAGGGTATGGGTGTGACCATGGTTGTGTGTGGATTTTGTTTGTAACCCGAGGAAAGTTTTGTCTGACTCTGGGGCTGACTGCCTGGATCTGCTAGGAGTCTCTGCTAGGGGTCTCTGCTAGGAGTCTTTTTTATCTTTCTGGGGGTCTTTGTGGAGTCCTTAGGATTGTGTGCTCAGTCTGCTCACACTGGCCTGGGGAGATGTTTCCGGGTACCCTAGAGGAGACCACAGTGCCGCCGGAAACAGCCCGGCTCATAATGGTAGGGGCTGCTCCACTTCCCTTTCTGCCCTTTCCCCAGGCTCTGGAACCTCGAACAGGTGAGACAGGGCACTGAGGCTGCCTCCTGCCTCCTTGGGGCCACATTCACCAGGATCCCTGAGCAGGGGTGAGGCCTCCCCCTGGGCTCCAGCCGGAAGTTGCCTGGACCACCTGACAGAGGGGACCAGAGGGACAGGAAGGAGGCTACGGTCACGGCCTGAGGGACTCAGGGGACTCACAGAATGTGGGACGGCAGATGCCCATTGCTCAGAAAGCTTCAAGAAACCTGTGAAGGGCCAGGCCCCATGGGAGAGGCTGCTGGGAGGGCTCTGGCTGACGGTGACCCAGAAACAGCTGCCCATGGGATCTGGCACTCACAAAGTGAGATTGAATTCGTGGTGCAGCAGAAGTGTCCCTGGTGTTGGGGGCACTTGGTGAAGTCTGAGGCAGAGCATCACATGTCATCTGCTCAGCAAAGGGACACCTGAAGGCCCAGCTGGGGCATCCTGCAGGGTGGCTCTTCTCATGCTGCTGCTCAGAGGCAGGAGGATTGCCCTGGGCCAGCCCCACAGTGTAAGTATGTGAATGTGCACATGCATATGCACCTGAGGTGCAGGATAAGATATTCTCACTGTGTCACCTCTCGGGGTCAGCCAGGCCTGCACACACTTGACACATCCACCTCAGGGGCTTCCTCTTCGGGGGGTGATGACCAGAAACAGGGTCCAGGCAATGACCACCGTCAGCCCTTGGTGGCCTCCAGTATGACCTTCACCTGAAGGCCAGAGCCCCAGCCCCGAAACTTTGCCTGGAATGCGCTGAGGTGGCCCAGATCCAGCTCAGCCCAAACCCAGCTGGCCATCACAGGGGTTAGAAAGACAGACTCCGCTGACACAAGGAAGTATGTGAGCGCGCGTGTGTGTGTGTGTGTGTGTGTGTGTGTGTGTGTGTTCATCTGGGGGTGGGGAAGGAGGACTGGGCCTAGGGGTGGGTAGGTATGAGCATGTGGGCCAGCATGTATGTGCATGTCTGTCTACACAAGTATCCCTGCTTTGGAGAGAGGTGTGTGTACATGTATGAGCAGTGTACATGTGCTTGGGGTGGGGCTGTGGACAGCATGGATCCTCCCTCCCCTCTCGGATTGTCTGGTATGTCACTGTCCCCTACCCTGCTCTTCATTCTTCCCTGCTCCACCCTGTCCCATTTACTCCCCCTGCTGCAGGTATAATCTGGAGGGGGCATTTGCTTAAGGACTTAAAAAGGGACAACAGGCAGTTGTCAGGCAGGGGTCAAGTAGGCCCACTGATTTGAGAGAATAACGGCCCATGCCAGCCAGGCATGGTGGCACACGCCTGTAATCCCAGCACCCAGGAGGCTGAAGCAGGAGGATCACTCAGAGTTCAAGGCCAGTGTGGGGTACATAGTGAGTTAAAAGGCAGCCTGAACTACAGAGCATGACTCTCCCAAAAAACCAAAAAAGAGTAACTACCCAAACCCCAGTGGCCCCCCACTTCGTCCCCTGATTGGGCCTCTCTGGGGTAGCCCACACTGAGGTTCCTACCAGGCCTTTGTCCTTGAGTGGCTGCAACTTCCCTGGATGTGAGGCCTGCTCTCTGGCTGGTGAAGAGAACAGACGTCCCAAAGCCTAGGGTCCTGAGGGCACAGTCCTCCAGCACCCTCGCGGCACCCTCTGGCAGGCAGTGCCCACCTGCCAGCTGGATCCTCTGGGTGAGCAGCCTTCAGGGGACAGGAGCCCCCCACAGAGAGCCTGGGGCACTGAGGCCTGGGACCACCTCCCCTCCCTGGCCCTCACCTCCCCTTAGCCCTTGTGTCTGTGGGGAGCCCATGGCCAACCAGGGAACTTTCTCTCACTGTCCCTCCCGGCTCCCCTCCCTGCCACAAGGCGGGGGAGCCCAGAGCTGGGTTCGGGAGCCTCAGTGTTGACCCACGGGGCCCAGGAAGTGGGGGGATCTGGAATTGGTCCCCTCTCTGCAGATTCACATGCTGGTGAGTACACTGGCTCCGGGATGAGGAACAAGCAGGCGCCTCCTGGGTGTGGGGAGCGGACAGTGCGTGGGCCTGGCTGCTCTGCTGGAGGCCACGGCTCGGATCCGAGTTTTCCACGGTCCAGTCTTTTCGCCCAGGTTTTCAGCTGTGAAGGAACAGCAGAGGGAGCCCGGGAGCGGGGCGGGGCCGAGGCCATGCCAACCCTCAGGAAGAAGAAGCCCGGGGCAGGGGCACAGTACAGAAGGCAGAAGTGAGCCATTCCCAATCCTGGGGCTTCGGGGCCCCTGCCCCACTGCCTGGTGTGCCAGCCAGAATCAGACACTCATAAGCAAAGCGGGTGGCTGCTGGGCCCCGCCCTCGGTGCATTGTTTCTCCCAGCGACCCTCCCCGTACATGCCTCACCTTTCTTTACACACGAGGAGACTGGGGTACCGAGTGGTCTGGCCAGAGCTGTGAAGCCTTGGGAGATGGAGCTAGAGCTGGAGCTCTATCCAGAAAGGTGAGGCTGGGGCCCTCGCTCTTGCGCCCACCCACTCACCTCTGCCCAGCCTGCCTGAGGTCTCCACAGGCGCAGAGACCCTATGTTGCCACCAGGTGGCGCTAAGTGCTTGCTCCTGAGCAGGGCCCGGGAATCCCTGAGGGCCACGAGGTAAAGGCAATGCTCTGACTGTAAGCAACTCTAGTCGGATGGTGCATTCCCAAGACTGAAGGAGGCTGCCTTCCCAGCCACCCCACCATGGACACTCAGATCTGGCCTCTCCGGTGTCTCTGGGAAGACTCCGGAAGTTACTCCAGAGCCCACCAGCTGGTATCCTAATACCAAGCTTTTCAGCACCCCAGCGCCCCTCACCCCAACATGGGCTTGAGACAGGGGCAGCGTCACCCACTGGGGAGAATCCTCCACTCTCCAGGTTGGGATCCAGGCCTCCTCTGACCTCACCCACAACACACATAAATGCATGCAGATACGTGGACACAGACACACAGTCACACATCACACAAGACAGACAGATGGACACGCACACACTCATGAAGCAGATGTACATGGATACACACATAGACATGCTTACACACACATATGCTGGACCTCGGCCCGGGGATTTAGCTCAGTGGTTCCACCGCCTGCTGCACAAGAGCAAGGACCCGAGTTCGATCCCCGCTACCAAAAAAAACGTATTCTGGACCCGAGTTTCATTGTCTTCTTGAAGAAGCATCACCAGGCATGTGTCCCTGGCTCCTCTAGCTTTCCCATCAGCAGGAAACAGACTGGAATCACCCCACTTTATAAGTCAGGTGTGGTGGCACATGCTTGCAATCCCAGGACTCTGGGAGGCTGAAGCAGGAGGATCACAAGTTTGAGCTCAACCCAGGCAACATAGCAACTTAGCAAAGTCCTGTCTATAAATAAATAATTTTTTTTTTAAAGGGCTGGGGCTGTGGCTCCATGAGAAGGCTCTGTGTTTAACCCTCATAGCAAAAACTAGCCCCAAACCCCCTCCAGCACTTGCCCCATTTCTGTCCTCTCCTCCCAGCAAACGCCCTGCTGCCTCGATTCTCAGCCTCCTTGCACTCTGGGGACCCCACCATGGTTGGCCTTTCCACCCTGCTGCCCACCAACAGCTGCTCCTCATCCTGAGTCCACAGCCCCCTACCTGCGCCCTGCCTGCGCACACCCTGAGGGAGCTCGGTACGAACTTGTGCTACTCTCCGGAGTTGGCCTCTCTGCTGGCCTCACCACGCCCGCCTATCTGGGGGGCCTCAGCTCCCCACCCCACCTGCAGGGCACCCCGCCCCGTGCTCCGCTCCCAGGCTGTGTTCCTCCTTTCACCCTGCCTCCTAAGGGTGCCGGGGTTCCTCATCCCTCACTCTCCAGGGCTGTCTCCCTCACATAAGCCACTGCTCCCTCCTGCCTTGGCCTCTGAACCAGTAACTGTGCTACTTACTTATTTACTAGTTTACCTAGTGCTACTTTAAGCATTTCACATATATTTGAAATATATAATGTATATAAAATCTTATTCATATTGTATATAATATCCTAATATATCTAAATTTAAAATCTAAATTATGTAGGATGATTTTAATATAAATTATTATATAATTAAAACATAACTTAATTATAATAATGTAAATATTACATTTAAATTATATATCTAAATATTTGCATCATATA